GTCTCCCTTATTGCTGAAGCATCACCCGCGGTAAAAAGCAAATACAAAGTGTAAAACCACTTTTAATCAAAATTATATTGCCTCCATGTTGCTGGTTGTATAAAATAGCTACAGCTCATAAAGAATGTGAGTAATTTAATGGCAGGAGTGGTTAAATATATCAAATCCTCCTTCTGGCCTTGGGAGGGTCAAGCCCAGTGTGATATATAGAGAAGACTGTGATGGCTGAAGGTCGTGTCAGCTTCTTCTGCATAATGCATGAATCCTGTAACTCTCTCTGACTCCAATCTTCTGAACCTGAACCTTGGGATGAAAATCTTACTAAGTAAATCAGCGAGCATGCTGGCATTTCTATTAACCTCCAGTGTGCTGCTGACAGAAACGTGAATCACAGCAAATAATATCCTGCAAACTGTAAATCATGTTTACAACTCGGGCTGAGAAGTGATGTCATGGGATAGTGCCATCTGTTTGCTGTTTGTTTCTGCTAATTTCTCTGCACAGAGGCAAAAGAGAAGGTGGACAATTATAACCTAGCCCATAGAAGTCAGGAAACATCTTATTGCATATATCCTGAACTAAATTATATCAACTTTTAGCATTTACTTCTTTAAAAAATTGTTCAAAACATTTGCACATGGGTGGATTTTTTATTTTATGGACTATACTTTATGATTTTCCAGGTTAGATTTGGTTTTTGATGAGCAGTATTTCCCACTTCAAACACAAAAAATAGCCGAGAGCTTTGATTTATGCATGCATGGAGTGAAACAAAATAAAAGGAAATGTTGACCTTTACAAGGAACATAAAGGGTCAGTGCAGCAACTGTGCCTCAAAGGCAAATTGCCTCCCAGTGCTGGTGATCTATCCTTACAACAGGGATGAATTTCTTATCCTTTGCCATTTGTGTGTTGTTGTTTTTTCTTATCAGGGAAGAAATGTGGAGAGCCACAATATTTCACACCATGTTTCAGTTCACCCCAGAACAACTATTTTAAGAAAAAGAGGAACAGATGGAGCTACAGTGAAGAACTCGTTAGTTTTCCTGAATTTAAATCAGACATTTTTGAGAGAAATATTCAAGTGGCAGTGTCGAGAATCTTTTCGCTGCTTTAGACGCTGCGTGCAAGTCTACAAGCTCTCCTGCCCTCTTTTATTTCTGTATCAAAGGGTAAACTAATGCAAAATGTATATGGCCCTTGGCACAAAAGATGGTGGTGCGGCTCGGTACAGGAAGATCTGTGTGCTAAAAGCTCGAAACATCTGTGTAAACACATGGCCTTTTTCCAACCATGTAGACAATGTTCTCATAGCCTTAAGATAGATGTCCAAGGCAATATACCTTGCCCCAGGGCCATGCTGGGATGGCTTTGAACATCTGAAAACCCCTGAGCTTCAAGCAGTATCCACTTTCAATATTCAAACTGGATGGCAGAGTAAAGAAAAAATCAACCTATGGTGCATTGCACTGTTCTAAGCATTGGATCAGTCAATTGTAAAATTAAATTACAGAAGTGTTAAAGATGCAGTGATGTCTTATGTGTAAATTTAAGGGGTCTTTATAAAACAGCGTTTGGAGAAGCAGGGCAAACAGAACAAAAAAAGAAAGGACCTTCTGCCTTTGTTGTTGTTCTTTAATTCTGTTAATAGCCCAAGGTAAAGATTTATCTGCTCTTGTCAATTTACCTCAGCCTCGATATAAAGCACCAAGGTCACTTTTTCCTTGCCTGGCCCACAGGATTAAATTGTCATGTCCCTCTAATAGGCAGCACAGGGAATCATTAGTCCAGCTCAGCTGCCTGACTGATAGGCATTTCAGTCCAATCATGGGAGTGTGCCGCCACAGGCCAGCCAGTATTGACACTGTGTCAGGACTGAGAGGGGACGCCTTAATCAGCCAGGACACACTCAACATTGATTTGACAAGCTGCCGTAATGACCCCCTTGTTTTGGTAAAGGATGACTGTTTATCCGGGCTGGCATTGATGCACTTGGAGTGCAGCATTGTCATGGAAACTATTATCAGCCGCCAAGTCTGTGCAGCTGGACAAGGGCTGTCTTTAAACATACATTAACAAAGAACATTTCACTTCTTCACAACAAACTGTCAGAAGAGTAATTCAGCTAATTTTATAGAATCTATACAGTTTATATCTTGTAAGCTCCGCCAAGGAGGTTGTGTTTGTTTGTCATTTAGCAGGATTGTGTAAAAAAACTGCTGGATAGATTATCAGGAAACTTGGTGGGAGGATGGGATAAGGGTCAGGAGAGAACTCAATACATTTTGGTTTGGATCAATTTTTTTCAGTCTTTAAAAATTCGAGAAAGGTTTTTTTT